TGTTCTGCAGCGAAATTTCCTTTGTGGTTTAGCTTTGATGGAAATCTGGCACATTATTGATCAAACCTTTCGTCATGAATTTAACGCCAATCAGATAACATTGTTCTAAAGTGTTAAATATAAGGACAGGAGTACGAGGAGAAGTTTGTTAATGCATACATGTGTGTGTGAGTTTGTCATTTCGTTTCCCTTGGTGCCAATATTTTTTCCTGAGTATCAAGTGAATGACACTATAACAGATTAATGTAAAAACGATCGGTATTTTAGAAAATCTGTTTCAGTAGGTTTTATTTTCTGAAAACAACACACAACGTAAGTAATACAATTTATTGTTGTTTTTAATTTGATGAAATCACAAGCAACAGAAGCCAAGAGTCATTTTTGTTTAGCCATATTATTAGAACCCGGGAAGCAGATAGGTCTATAAAATATAGGTCTATAAAATATAGGTCTATAAAATATAGGTCTATAAAATATAGGTCTATAAAATATAGGTCTATAAAATATAGGTCTCTAAATTATAGGTCTATAAAATATAGGTCTATAAAATATAGGTCTATAAAATATAGGTCTATAAAAAATAGTTCTAGCCCTATATCCCCTATATGCTTGATGGCGTGGAAAGGGGTCATTTACTTACTTATTACTATAGTATGGAAAAATAGACACGAAAACATGCGACCACTAGAAAGATTGTGTGGAAAGAGAGATAAAGTGAGACCATTCTTGACACCCTTTTGTTCATGGCATAGGGGGAGTGTCAGAACATGAACTGATAGATACTATTGAGATCGAAGGTTGTGGAGCGGCATGATCGCCCATACCAGTCGACAAGGCACATTATTCAAAAAGTTTGTTTAACTGAGGAGACTGGACCTGGCCAGGAATGGGACCGAGTGCAAGCAGAGTGGTGTACATCCTTTTCAGTCTGCATAAAGGTTGATAGAGAATACAGACAACAGAGCCTTAATTCTTGAAAATTCTGTTGACGGATCCATCGTTCCACACGTACAAAGTTAATTGGCTTTCACGGTTCTTGTTCGAGAGAAAATTGTAAGAGAAGATAGCAATGCTTTTGCCTCGTTTACAAGTAGTCTATCGAGGTGACAAAAGCAATGATGTGGCTAGAGACAGCATTTTTCCCATGCGTGCTTTCTAAGTGATTCCATGAGCATGTTTGTAAGAAGATAGAGATAGGATAAATTCAAAGAAACTTATTGGAGTCGCTGAGGAAATCTCGTCTGATAGGAATTAGTTTAATTTTTGTGTGCCAGGTCACTCTGGGATAAGAGGCAATAAACGAGCTGATTGGCTTGTAAGCAGTGCCACGGTAAGTATAGGAAACAGGCCGGGCTGATATTCTTAATGCTCTCAAGGAGACAGGACGGGAAGACGATTATTGAGAAAACGTTGAACCGGCAGCACTCAAAAAATCTACAAGACCTTCAGGTCAAAACAGGTGTCGCCAAACATGAACACTATACAGGTTGTCAACGAAGAATAGTAAACCAACACATAACTGGTGTTATCAGTCGCCACATGGTGAGGGATAAACCGAAGACGGGACCAGAGCGCTTATGGACGTCCTAATTCAGGCACATTATTATGATAATGATGATAATTCATTGAAGGTTGCATTGCGGCTGTATTTGGTAAACATTATGCTGAGGCTAAAAATTCCGGCCATTATGTTTTCTCTTCTTTCTTAGATTGTGGTAAAAGTGTTGTCTATATGTGGTTTTAAAGAAGATAACAGCGAAAAATAATTTTTTTTTAAATCACTTTTTCAAGTAAACAAAAAGGAAAATTTTTCAAACGAATGTAACTCCAGTGAAAGTTCACTTTTACTGACTGTCTCAATAAATAAAGAAATCCACAATAACCTGGGCCACCAATGTGGTCACGGATTGGGAGGAGTTAACACTTCGTTTATAGTAAACCCACGAAATATAGAAAATGTGTGTGATTTATAGTATAGTCAAGATTCGGCCTCTCTTCGCAGGATATCTAGCCGCCTGCCGAGAGCGTCATATTAAGCACGAACTCCATAGCTCCGGCAACGATCCACAGTGATCTTTTTAAAAATTGCACTTATGAACTGAATGACGCAGCCATGAAACGAACCCACGCCCTTCAGAGCGCGAGGCAAACATCTTGACCACTTCACCATGGAGACCCCTTACCCACAATGAAAGAATGCCTTGTGATGTCACACCACAGAAGGTAGATACCCTAAAGGTAGATATACAGAAGGTATATACCCTGAAGGTAGATACACAGAAGGTATATACCCTGGAGGTAGATACATAAAAGGTATATACCCTAAAGTAGATATACAGAAGGTATATACCCTGAAGGTAGATTCACAAAAGGTATATACCCTGAAGGTAGATACACATAAGGTATATACCCTGGAGGTAGATACATAACAGGTATATACCCTGAAAGTAGATATACAGAAGGTATATACCATGAAGGTAGATTCACAAAAGGTATATACCCTGAAGGTAGATACACAGAAAGTATATACCCTGAAGGTAGATACACAAAAGGTATATACCCTGAAGGTAGATACACAGAAGGTATATACCACGAAGGAAGATACACAGAAGGAATATACCCTGAAGGTAGATACACAGAAGGTATATACCCTGAAGGTAGATATACAGAAGGTATATACCCTGAAGGTAGATACACAGAAGGTAGATATACAAAAGGTATATACCCTGAAGGTAGATACTCAGAAGGTATATACCACGAAGGAAGATACACAGAAGGTATATACCCTGAAGGTAGATACACAGAAGGTATATACCCTGAAGGTAGATACACAGAAGGTATATACCCTGAAGGTAGATACACAGAAGGTATATACCCTGAAGGTAGATACACAGAAGGTAGATACCCCAACGGTAGATATACAAAAGGTATATACCCTGAAGGTAGATACACAAAAGGTATTTACCCTGAAGGTAGACATACAGAAGGTATATACCCTGAAGGTAGTTCTGATCCCCATCTTGTGGTTCGCCCTGGTGGCCTCATGCAACACCTGCATGTTCGTCAGCTGTGTCCGGCGAGACCACTTCTACCTCTACTATTGCAAGTGGACAGCCATTTCAAAGGAATTCACCACCATCTTTATCATCGTCACCTTTATTATCCTTATTATCCGTATCATGACACCAGTCCACACACCCAGGGCTTCATTCACCACAAAGTGTCTGAAAGGTATATACCATTAGAGGAAAGGAATATAGACCAAGAACATGAATGAATTAAAAAAAGGAGAAGTGGATATGGGACTTTTGAGTTTGGTTCTTCTTCTTCTCTTCTTTTCTTTACTCTTGGAATATCTTGCGGCGTCAGGGAAAAAAAAAAGATCTCTGCAACAGGCCCTTTTCAGTGTTACTTTGAATATCGTGGACTGAATGAAACACAGATAACTATATAGTTGACCGTGATTGAAACAAGGCTAAGTTAGTGAGAAATAAATTGCTACATTTGTTTGGCTGTTGTTGTTTTTCTTGGTAAACTGCCTAGTAGTTTGCCATTTTTTTTTTCTGGACGATTGACTTCTCGACACCAATGTCGAAACCGACGCAAGGCGCAAGGTCCGCAGCTGGGATCGAACCCGGCACCCCGGCATTACGAAGCGCGTTCGCAACCCCTAAGCCACAGACGCCGACAAATTGCTACATACATTCCTGAATCACAACCACCATGAAAAGCTAAATGCAAACTACCTGGCATATCAACAAGAAAAGGTGAACGGGAAAAATCCTGGTATATGGACATCTAAAAACAGACAGCACGGGAATAATGGCAGAAAAGGATTACTTATCAGAGGTTTTGACAAAGAGAAAATACTTCTTTATGAGTGGAGGCAGTGCTAATCAGCAGGCTGGTAGACTTGCTGCTGCTACTGCTTCTCTGGGCGGTGAGCTATTCTGTGATAAAACGGGCACAATATACTCAATAATGTGGCAATAATGGCGGTCTGCCGTGTTCTAATGGTAAATTTGAGCTCTAATTTAAGCGCGCAACAGTAATAATACTACAATTGTAAACTGTGTGATGAATTGCAATAAAAAGTAAAGGACCCTTTTCCACGTCTTCAGGCGAATTAGGCATATAGGGCTAGACCTATATTTTATAGACTAATCCGCACTGGGTGGGTGATGTCGTCAGCACCACGTTGGCTGCCTTTACTTCCCAGGAATCCATATGGTACCTACTCAAGGCTGGGTCGACCTGAGAGCCGAGGTCATTCTTGAAAGCAGCCCGGCTCCGCCAGGACCCGAACGCACCACCCTCCGATCCACAGGCGAGAGCCTATCTCATGTAACAGACATAATTAACTATTGTTGGGGGAGGAACACAACAGCCAGGGGCTGTTGGGGTTGGTTCTGCAACGTCCTATAAAGGAAACGCAACTAACCTGATGGGGGAGAAGTGGCTAAGGATCCAGTGTTTTCCCTGTGGCAGCTTGCCGGTAAATGTAACGTTGGTCTTCCTTACGCCCCGCCCATATATACACTAGCTCACTTCTGATTGGTAGTTCCTGAACCTGTCACCTTGGCACAAGGTTACGGGGGTGAACCGCAATTCCGTTGATATCGCGTGTTGACTATTTCAGCACGCCAGCGCTTTTACCACTCTAAAAACACCGAGAAACTGGTCCTAAAACAACCTCCCTAGAGAGAGCTGAAACCTATGTCAGGCATTTTATTTTTCTCAGAAAGAAAACGTAAAAGCAAGACATCACAGAAAGATAACAACAGAGCGGGACACACCCGTAACCTTCAGAAAAGTCGACCAGCCCAATAAACTTGTGAATGAAAGGTGACCCACTCTATCTAGGGAGATTAACGTGAACCTAACCCAGTTTGCCTGCTGTAATCGGCTAAAAATCTTTTATTTTGTTAACCACATACTGAAACACATATACTGATTTGCTTACAGAATCTTCCAGGGGCGTGGTTTGCCTACAATTAACTATGGATCCTAAAGAGCTATTGGAGCATTTAGCGAAATACCCGCCAGAGCCTTTCTCCGAGGGGTGTGTCAAACTTGCGCTCCTCCCATTCTTGAGATCATTACAGATTGTTGGAGCCTATCACGAGCATGATTATTACTATGAATTTGTAAGTATGAACTTTAGTTTTCGAATTACAGCCATCTTTCTTTTGTTTGTTTCTTTATCAGTTTTTTTAACGTTTTTTGTCAAGTTTTCTTTTGTTTGTTGTTGCAATACTTCTGTCTCGTTCTTTCTCCATTGCTGTTTATCCGTCTCCCCTTTCTATCTCGATGTCTCTCGTTCTGTGTTTAGACTGTCACTCATTTCTCTCTCTCTCCGTTTATTTTGCTTGCGACCTGTCTGTCTGTCTGTCTGTCTGTCTGTCTGTCTGTCTGTCTGTCTGTCTGTCTGTCTGTCTGTCTGTCTGTCTGTCTGTCTGTCTGTCTGTCTGTCTGTCTGTCTGTCTGTCTGTCTGTCTGTCTGTCTGTCTGTCTGTCTGTCTGTCTGTCTGCCAGCTTGTCTGTCGGCATGTCTGTCTGTCTGTCTGTCTGTCTGTCTGTCTGTCTGTCTGTCTGTCTGTCTGTCTGTCTGTCTGTCTGTCTCTGTATATTTACGGGGAGGTTTGAAAAATGATTCTCAACTGATTAACAACTTATGGTTTCTGGATATAAAAAAAAAGATGTCCGATACTTCATCATCATCATCACGTGCCTTGCCGACTGGCGTGGGCGATCATGCCTCTCCACAATCTGCGATGTATCAGTTCGTGTGCCGATACACCTCTATGCCATGTAACCAGACTGTCAAGCATCTTCTCTCGTTGTCTTCCTCTATCCCCCTTCCACAGATCTTTCCAGTGGTCACAACGTGTTCTATTTTCCCTCTTCTCCTAACATGGCCGAAAAATGATGACTGTCTCCTTTTGATGTCTGTGATAAGTTATCTTCGGGCTCCCGCCTCTTTCAAAACCTCTTAGTTGCTCTTTTTGGCTGTATTCTAAGCATTGTGAAACCACATTTCTGAGGCCTCAAGAAATTGTTAGGCCTGTCTACCGATTGTCCAGGACTCACTGCAATACGTTAAAACTGGATGTATGCAGCAAGCAAGCATTCTTTTTCTAGCTCTCAATGACAAGGAAATTTTGCGCAAGATGTTCTTCATTTTATAAAATGCAGTTTTAGATGTCCGAGACTTACCAAGCAAATATGTTGATATATTTCAGATCAAAGAATTCAAAGAAAGACGACAGTACATGAAGGCGGTCGAAAACAAGAACATCCTCATGGTTTTCAATGCCTCCGAGAAAACTCCCAGCCTTTACATCGCAGATCCGGTCTCTCAAAGTCCATTATTCACCAGACGACAACCTAACCACAATGGCGGCCATTTTATCATTGCCAATGAGAACACTACCGACTTCCGGAGAAGAGATACATTTTACAAAACAATATCCGGTAGTGTCAAGGAATCAAAATATCCACCAAATAATGACATCATTAATATAAAAATCCACAGTGCAAGCTATCATCCGGTTTCCGGAGCTCCATGTTCAAATGCAGAAACTTTTCTTGAGAAGCTGTGGAATTGTAGATACACATCTAACAAGCAAAATGATCAGTTCTATGGGATACGATGTCTCTGAAATGGGTGGAATAACCAGAGAAAAACAGACCAAATCTAGTTCGTCGCACTCCCCGGGTTTTCGCCTGAAGTCTTTGTGGAGCGACAGAACCTACGCGTTTATATTGGTGATCTTGCACTGGGCAAACCTATTTAGGTTTGTGTGTTTTTACTTTTTGTGTGTATCTTCTTCTTCTTCTTCTTTTCTCTATTCATGGAATGTCTCACGGCGTCAGGGCAGGAATAGATCTCTGAACGGGGACCTCTGTTCGCTTCGTATAAAGCACTTTTCAGTGTCTCACTTCTGTGGTCCATATACTGCGTGGTCGACCTCTGGCTCTGTTACCTTTGTATCTGAACACCATTGCTCTCTGTGGTGCACTGTCTGATGCCAGTCTTGTTACATGGCCAAACCATTTGATTTGTTGTCAACCAATTAGGTTCAGTTTTGGTTCTGTGCCGACTCTCCTCCTGATATCGTTCATAAGACGACCTTTCCACATGACACCTAGCATAATACGTAAACCTTTCATTTCTGTCGCGACTATTTCCTTTCTGTCTTCTGAAGAGTGTCCATGTTTGATATTGACAGCATAGCGATGGTAAACATATTGTGTTGAACAGTGTTAATTTGGTGTTAATATTCATATATTTGCATTTTAAAGTTGGTGCCATTTGGCGTAAAACTTGATTGTATTTATTGCATCTTTAATGGATTCCTTTATTAATTGTTCCGTCTCCTGAAAGAAATCTTCTTAGATACGTAAATTTCTTCGCCTGCTTTAACTAATGTTAATCAATTTTGATTTAGGTAGTTCTTTTTTCTGGAGAATGTCATCACTTCTGTTTTGTCTACGTTGATCTTGTGTGCATATAATGTTCTTATCTTGCATCTATCAAATTAAACGTTCCTAATCACCCCATAGAGTCGCCGTGGCAGAGCGCCTAGACGCGCGCCACGGATCGGAAGGTCGTGGGTTCGCTTCCTGGTGGAGACGGACTTTTCTTCAAAAATGACCTTGGCTCCCAGGTCGACCCAGCCTTGAGTGGGTACCGGGTGCAATCCCGGGAAGTAAAGGCGGCCGGCGTGATGCTGACCACATCACCCATCTTGTGCCGTTGGTCTATAAAAATATAGGTCTAGCCCTATATGCCCTATACGCCTTAAGGCGTGGAAAGGGTCCTTTACTTTACTTTACTTTAATCACCCCATACCCGCTTTTAACAGCGGCGTCTACCAGAGCAGTGCTTGACGTATTGTTGACGTAGAGGCTCAAAGGGAAAAACATATACATGTCTGTAGTTTACACAGTCTCCAAGAGTTTCAGAGTTATGAACTGGGTTATCTTTACTGAACTTAAGATATGTCTATCAGAACGTGTATCCCCCACCTCCCCCCCCCCCCCCCAGCACTTTTTTCAACATATGGCGTCTCGCCCTAAATGATACCAGTCCTGCGCTGGTTAAAACACTTTGTGTGCGTACGGATCGCCTCTCCTGCGAAGAAGAAGAAGAAGGAGGAGGAAAAAGGAGAAAAAGGAGAAGAAGAAAGAGAAGAAGGAGAAGCAGAAGAATAAGAAGAAGAAGAAGAAGAAGAAGAAGAAGAAGAAGAAGAAGAATAAGAAGAAGAAGAAGAAGAAGAAGAAGAAGAAGAAGAAGAAGAAGAAGAAGAAGAAGAAAAAAGAAGAAAAAGTAGGAGGAGGAGGAGGAGAAAAAGAAGAACAAGGAGAAGAAGAAAGAGAAGAAGGAGAAGCAGAAGAAGAAGAAGAAGAAGAAGAAGAAGAAGAAGAAGAAGAAGAAGAAGAAGAAGAAAAAGAAGAAGAAGAAGAAGAAGAAGAAGAAAGAGAAAAAGGAGAAGCAGAAGGAGAAGCAGAAGAAGAAGAAGAAGAAGAAGAAGAAGAAGAAGAAGAAGAAGAAGAAGAAGAAGAAGAAGAAGAAGAAGAAGAAGAAGAAGAAGAAGAAGAAGAAGAAGAAGAAGGAGGAGGAAGAAGAAGAAGAAGAAGAAGGAGGAAGACGAGGAGAAGGAGGAAAAGAAAAGGCAGAAGATAAGGACAACGATCCAAATCCATCCCCCCATTAAAGAATTGAACTGACACCTCTTACGTCCCCAGGTGTGGCATGTACTTCCTCCCAGATTACCATGTGGACTTTATGACGGCTCTGATCCCCATCTTGTGGTTCGCCCTGGTGGCCTCATGCAACACCTGCATGTTCGTCAGCTGTGTCCGGCGCGACCACTTCTACCTCTTCTATTGCAAGTGGACAGCCATTTTTAAGGTATTCATCCCCATCTTTATCATCGTCGCTTTTTTTAATCCTTTTTTAATTTTTTTCAAAGTATCCAGAAACCATGAGTTGTAAACCCTTTGGCTCAGTACTATGGATATCGCAACCCTTCGGCCTTGATTCCATTATAGGTACCGTTAATCTGGGAGAAATGTGGCTTTTCTGCCTACCCCAGGGAGTGAGCCCGGACCACAAGGAGTTCGTCACCCGGCCGCCGCGAAAGTCAGGTTTAACTAACTTCGCTAGAGGACGTACACCAAAAATGATTCTGAAAAGAGTCGAGTACCTGCTAGGATGGTACTGAGATGGTGGCGGAGGACGAGAGGACATTGTTTGAAAGGAGAGTTCCCTTCCGGTCAAAATGGACGTTAGGCAGCGGCACTGTTCGAAACAGAGGCACATTTTTTGCTTCTGCCGGACGGTGGCCGATGCATTTTTGCTCCATTTGTAGACTGGGTATAGTTTCGTCGCCCAGCTTCTGAGTTGAATGCATGGCCTGACCATGTGAGCTGCGGATTGCATTTGGAATGTTTTTTCGACTGTGACCAACGTGTTGGTGTGAATTTTGGATTCAGAAAAGGGCGCGATGCCTGCCGTGCAGTGTTGTGGTGCCCGTATGTGATTAAAATTGATCGCGTGGGCAACTGGTGATCTGTTGGCGACTTCTGCTACCATCAATGATGAACTGCATTTCTAATACTGCGATAAACATTCTGTGTGTTTTTCGTTGGCACAGGAGCGGAGCAAAAATGGTGTGACCCGTTTGCTATGAAGCTGAAACTAAGACTACCAGACTACCAGACTACCTTCTAAAAAAAAAAAAAAAAAAAACTTTAGGAATCTGAAATTTAAGTGTATTTAATATACGTCCTGCTGTGTAAATGTCCTGTTTGGTATAGTCCTATATGGTATACGTACTGTTTAGACACCCCCATCTCCCTTTTCCCACTTTTTGTTAGATTTTCTGTCACTTTTTGCTACTTGAAACTGGCTGAGGCTCACCAAGTTTGACTTTAGCTAAAAATCTGTCCAAAGTACTTTACGTCTGCAATTTCCTCAGGGAGTATCGGAAATGTGGCATTGTCTTGTCATTCCAGATAATGCTGCAACGGTTTATTTGGGCGTTGCTGGGGTGATACTGAAAAGCCGACATCAGTTCGTGGCTTTGTTTAGATAGAGGTAAACAAAGTTAGCGCGCGGTGTCATGACTACTTTTAACTCATATAAGTTCATATTTCAAACAAAGGTCGTAAATAAAGCAGACATTTTCGCGTCTAAACAGGACGTATACAAAGTTGAGCGTATACCAAAGCGAACGTATACCGAGGCAAGTAAAGAACAATTGTCCACGCCTTCATGAGTATTGTACATATAGGACGAGATCTATTTTCTTTAGACCAATCGGTACTTGCTGGGAGATGTGGTCATCACCACGCCGACCACCTTTACTTCCTAGGTACCCACTTAGATCCAAGGTCAGTTTTGAAAAACGCCCGGCTCCATCAGGACCCGAACCCACGACCTTCCGATCCGCAGGCGAGCGTCGAGCCGCTACACCACGGCGATTCCTCCGTTTAATAAAAGTTAAAAATCGAGAGGATCGACTTCATTGCACCGGACTTTATCCCACATGGCTCGGTCTCTCTCCGCAGAACGGCTAGCCGCCTGCCGACGGCATCGCACATAGCACGAACACCGCAGCTCCGGTGACGACCCCCAGGATCTAAGGGGGGGGGGGCGGCCGTGGAGCGAATCAACGACCTTCAGAGCGCGAGGCAAACGGCTTCACCACTTCGACACAGAGACTCCCGGCGATTCCGCGTACACTGGAGGTAAGGTATCACTGTCATTGCAAAAGAATAACCCTTTTTTTTGGCAACCGTTTCAGGACCAGACTACCCGAAGTCTGGGGCTACGCGGGGTTCTCAACACCCGCTTCATCCACAGAGTCGTGGTCATCCACTGGGCAGTGGCATTGGGCAACTTGGCCTGCATTGTCTTCTTGATGGTCATGGATGACAGTTTCTCGGCCGGCATGAACCTCTTCTTCTACACCGCCGGCTACAGGTCCACCACGGTTATTATCATCTCTGCCATCAGCTCGTTCTTCTCCACTACCACCTGGATCGCCACGACCGGCTTCATTGTCGTCATGTCCCACCACTTAGAGACGCACTTTCGGGAGTTGAGTCAGGTGTTGCAACTTCATGTGAGTTGTTGATGTCTTCTCCATAGTGTTCTTGTTCTTATTGTTCTTGCTGTTATAGTTCTTATTATTATTATATTTGTTCTTATTTTTTTCGTGCTCTTGTTTTCTTGTTCCTTTTGCTCTTCTCTTACTGTTCTTATTGTTAGTGTTCTTCTTTTTGTTTCCTTCCTTGTTTTTATAGTTCTTGTTTTATTGTTCTGGTTCTTTTTTCTTTTTATTCTTATTTTCTTGTTCTTATTGTTCTTCTTTTCGTTTTTGTTCTTTTTTTCTGATTGTTCTCATTATTATTGTACTTTTTCTTCTTGTTCTATTTCTGATGTTCTTGTTCTGATTGTTCTTATTCTTATTGTTCTTGTTCTTAGTTTCTTGCTCTATTGTTTTTGCTCTGATTTCTCGTGTTCTTTTGTTCTTGTTCTTATTGTACTTCTTCTTATTGTTCTTACTCTTATTGTTGTGCTTCTCATTGTTCTTGTCCTTGTTTTACTTCTTCTGACTGTTCTTGCTCTTTTTTTTTTTTGCTCCTATTATTCTAGTTCCGATTGCTGTTGATGTTATTGTTCTTTTACTGATTGTTCTTAATGCTGTTGTTCTTACTGTCCTTACGCTTATTGTTCTTGTTCTTATTGTTCTTGTTGTTCTTGTTCTTTATTTCTTTTTCTTGTTCTTGATTTGTTGTTGTTGTTGTTGACTTGGGATGTGGCAGACAGAAGAGCAAAAGGGAAAAGCAACAGACCGTCACCAACAGAGATCAACTGAGAATGCCTTTTGCGCCCAGAAAGAAATAAAGAAAAACTAGATAAAGCGTTGAACACGGACAGTGATCAGAAAGAAATAAAGAAAAACTAGATAAGGCGTTGAACACGGACAGTGATCAGAACGAAATAAAGAAAAACTAGATAAGGCGTTGAACACGGACAGTGATCAGAACGAAATAAAGAAAAACTAGATAAGGCGTTGAACACGGACAGTGATCAGAAAGAAATAAAGAAAAACTAGATAAGGCGTTGAACACGGACAGTGATCAGAAAGAAATAAAGAAAAACTAGATAAGGCGTTGAACACGGACAGTGATCAGAACGAAATAAAGAAAAACTAGATAAGGCGTTGAACACGGACAGTGATCAGAAGGAAATAAAGAAAAACTAGATAAAGCGTTGAACACGGACAGTGATCAGAACGAAATAAAGAAAAACTAGATAAGGCGTTGAACACGGACAGTGATCAGAACGAAATAAAGAAAAACTAGATAAGGCGTTGAACACGGACAGTGATCAGAAGGAAATAAAGAAAAACTAGATAAAGCGTTGAACACGGACAGTGATCAGAACGAAATAAAGAAAAACTAGATAAGGCGTTGAACACGGACAGTGATCAGAACGAAATAAAGAAAAACTAGATAAGGCGTTGAACACGGACAGTGATCAGAACGAAATAAAGAAAAACTAGATAAGGCGTTGAACACGGACAGTGATCAGAAAGAAATAAAGAAAAACTAGATAAAGCGTTGAACACGGACAGTGATCAGAACGAAATAAAGAAAAACTAGATAAAGCGTTGAACACGGACAGTGATCAGAACGAAAAAAAGAAAAACTAGATAAAGCGTTGAACACGGACAGTGATCAGAACGAAATAAAGAAAACTAGATAAAGCGTTGAACACGGACAGTGATCAGAACGAAATAAAGAAAACTAGATAAAGCGTTGAACACGGACAGTGATCAGAAAGCTACAAAGAAAACAAAGACGCAGTTAAGAGTGGAAGGACACTAATACACGTAAGCTTCTTCTTCGAGTTCACCAGCTGTAAACTCCGTCTAAAAGTTCTGATTGTTCGTCCACTCCCGGACTTTAGTATTTTTTCTAGAATTTGCGTTTTGCTTACCCTTCGTTTTACAGATCTATCCTTTTGTAAGCAGAATGTTCGTTCCTCTCCTCTTACGCTGGTCTCCCCATTTACACATCGCAACACACTAGCTCGCTTCTGACTGGACGACCTACTGACCACCTCAATCATGATAGGTCGGCCTCGAGCTATCAGACTTTCATACAAGGTCACGGGGACTAGTCCAACCAACTTACCAATGGAGTTGACTTACAACCAGTGGTGTGCAAATGGGGAGACAATCGTATAAATAACCCTCTTACCTATAGCTCTTTTCCCCATAGGACACCTATGACTACTTCTGAAATGTGACCTTTAACCCTTCTGTTTCTAGATCGCAGCTGCTGGAAAGGATTTCCCCCCGTCCTTGAACTTGCTGAGAGAGCGCCACCTAGCGATGTGTGACACCGTCTCCGTGCTGGATCGATACATGAAGTTTACCGTTGGCATCTCTTTTAGGTATGACCATACTCTCCCATACACACATATATGCAGACATGCGCGCACTCACCCTTCCAAAAAAGTATTTAAAAGTATCATTATACTAAAAACGGACACTTGAATGCCCAACGATACTTGCTTTAATTTCTTAGTCCCCAAGCCTACCCACTTCTGTCTGCACGAGGATCGATTATTCAACAGGATAAAGCTAAATCTTGTCTGGCACAACCCCCGACAGAGTTCCTCTCTGACAACAACATACAGACCATTCCGTGGCCACATATGTCATCAGACTCTATCAGACGGACGTGGCTCCAGCCAGTCTTCAACAGTTGTCTCTTGCACTTCTAGAAGGGTAGGGAAAGCCATCCCACAACAACAGATCCAACGGTTAATCACATCAATGCCAAAGAGATGCCGTTATCTAATAGAGGCTGGAGGAGACCATACATCCTACTAACTTGGAGGTCCCATTAACAAAACCCAAACCAAACGTAATGAACATCATTGCTTTGTTCAAGTCAAGTTTCTTTGCGTCAAGAATGAAACAACAGTTCCGTTAAATGAAACTGTGGGATTCATGTTTGAAGTTGGCTGTCTATTACAACTGCAATAGTATTACGATTTTTTTTGCCTTGTAGTTTCTATCATCATCATGTAGCAGGTCCTTTGCAGAACGTCGCTCTCATCACAGTCTGCCTGAAAGAAACTCGGTCTCAAGCCAGTTCTCCCTCCTCATGAACTTTCACACTCAAGGAGTCACTTATATCCTGTGCCCATCTTCGTGTCAGTCGGCCTCTGCCCCTCCTTCCTGGTACCATGCCTTCGGCTGTAATGTTTTCCAATCCGTGGTGGCGCTTAATATGAGCACAATATTTCAGCTTTAAAGAAAGATGCTGTTTATTAGCCAATCTTCCTTGATGTTCAGATCTTTTAGGATGTCAATATTTCTCATCTTCTTTGTCCAAGATATTCTGAGAATCTTTCTGTAGCATTTCAGCTCAAAAGTCCCTATTCTCTTTCTTAAAGACGGAGAGATAGTTCACGACTCACATCCGTATGTAGCCACAGGGAAGATGCATGCTCTCAAAATTCGAACTTTTATCTCCTTGCTGGTGCTTAACCATAGACTTTTAAGGCTGTTCAATCTTTGCATTGCTACGTAGTTTCTAATATTCTTTAAAAAAAAAATGTTTTTACAATATGATTGGCACATTTCCGTCTTTCCAGACGATAGTATTATATCGACCTATGAGGAGACAAGGGACTCAAAACCCATGGCGATGGCGAGTGTGACTTGCAAGACCCGCCCGCGTTAAGAAAAGTTTTCTACAGCTATAGCATGGAATTTCAGGACCATTGTTGTCAACATTTATGTTTAATGAAAATCATATCTTCCTTTATTCTCGTTCCCTTCCTGGTGTTTGCCCTCAACATAACACGGTCCAAAGCATTTTGAGTCCACCTCAGTACTTGTACCATTCATGTCCCGCTTGCATTCTCTTTATATCGTAGTATAGGTCCGCCTCGACAACTTCTACCTGTTTTTAGTTCGCTATAGAGAATGTCCTTAGGGACTTCGCAATCCTCCATTCTCCAGGTGTGACCCAGCCACCTGAGCCTTCGTAGACTGAGCATTGATAAGACTGTTGTAATACCTGCTCTTTCCAGTACCTCAACCTTCGTGATCTTGTCCTGCCACTTAATGGCAAGTATTCTTCTTAAGCATCCCACGTGAAAGCTATTTAGCCGTTTCCCCTGGTAAGATTAAATTTCACTGCCATAAATTACAGTGCTGAAAACACAAGCCTGATAGACAATAGACAGAATGTGTAGATATAATTTAATACCTTATATTCTTTACTAGTATGTTATTTTTAGTTATTCAACACTACTGTATGGCACATAGACCTGAACAATATAAAAGCAACTTTTAAAAACAGTCTGTTGAAATATGGATATATGTTGTTTTTAAAAAGTGGAAACAAAATCAAATACAGAGGTTCTGAAGATACTAGGAATGTAAAAATCAAGTTGCTAAAGAAATAAAAAATCAAAAAGAGACAAGTGAAATTGTTTCATTAAAAAAAAAAGTATCTAGTAAAAACTATACTGGGGGAGGGGGAAGGTGAAGGCAAGCGAGCAAGCGGTAACAACGATACAAGTGGGAAAATTACATCAGTAAATGGGCAAACAACAGTGTCAGAGAGTGTACAACCAGGACTAATGACAAAGCTTGTTAGAGATCTGTTACAGCAAACTTTTACTGTGGAGACGGCACCTGATAGATTGATTCATTTTACTCAACAAGTGTTAGGGATTGTACATCTTTCTTCATAAGTAGAGGGAGTCAAACACAAACCCAAATAATACACGCGGTGCAGGGTCCCCAGATAGTGGGGAACAAGATTGGCCCCCGAAAAGTCGGCCCAAAACACTTAAAGAAAAAGATGATCTCCTTTCTTTAAATTAAATAGTAATGTTTGATTCTATTTTTAAAAAAAAAACAACAACAGTGGGCCTTTTCAAAAAGTGTTCCTCAGCTTTTCGTCTCCCCTGTCCCGTGTTTCTGATCTCCCCTTTTTGCCCGAGTTCCCATGGGGTAGGTCAGTGAGGGCGGGGAAAAGGGAAATATGGCGGCAGTTTTCCTGAGCTTTTCGGTCCGCCCACATTTACAGTCCAAGGGCC